CACTCACTCACACACACACACACACACACACTTACTGCTCGAGGAATTAAGGCGTATAGACTGACACAGTGTGTTTTTTTCTGCTGTAATGGAAAGAGGAGGGCCGTGCTTCTGCTGCTGGGTGTTTTTTTTGGGTTTGGCGGTTTGCGTACGAATGGACGTCTTTCATGTGTGAAATGTGGGAGGATCCAGGTGGGATTCAGCAAATGGGTTCGGCACAGGAAGTGACTCAGCTCAGCGAGAAATTAGGCCAACAGTCTGAGGATTATTATTATTATAATCACTCATTTTCAGGATCAGGATTCTAGTGGGATCTTTGAGGCATTGAAAAGCAGCCTTGTCTAACTGCATTAGTTCATTAACATGTGTCTGTTAATATTATTGGTAACTAGGGTTTCAAAGGGGGCGGAAAAGTTCTGGTAAATATCTGGAAAACTTTCCAGGATTTTTTGGAAAGTTTCCAAAAATGTTCCACCCCTTTGCTACACTACTGGTAACATTTTACTATGAGCTCCCATCAGTTAACATCAGTTAATGCATTAACTATAACACTGATTTACAATTAGCCTATCAGTACATTTCATTAATTTTGTTAACTGTTCATTGTTAGTTAAGGTCCACATATTAACAGATACACTTTCATGTAATAATGTATTAGTAAGTGTAAAGATAAATAATGTTATTTGTGCCACCTTACCATAGGGTGTTACTATATCATTTGATTCAACTTTTGAATTTAATAGCATAGTGCATTAGCCAATCTTAAAAAAAATAAAATAAATAAATACCCTTAAGTAAGATTAATAAATGCATTAGACATATTTTAGATGTGGCATACTAATGTTAACAAATGGAACCTTATTGTAAAGTGTTAGGCTACCATATTGTTTGACAATAAACAGTTGCATTTGCATGAACTATCATTAACAAAGATTGATAAATACTCTAATAAATGTATTGCTTATTGTTAGTTAATGTTAGTTACTAACTAGTTGTCAATCTGCAATACAAACTGAGACATAAGAAATAATTTTATCCAAAAAGTCACACTTTACCTTTAAGTGCAGATATTTCAGATTCGTTCCACTTTATTTTAAACATGCGAGCGGGCGCGCCTTTTGTAATTAGAATGTGCGAGACTTCCGGTGTCGTTCGCTTCCAGTCTTTTCACCTGCACAAAAACATTATGCTGCTTGAGCTGCATCTGGTATTCCTTATCATATTATTTTAATTCATTATCATAAACATAAACACACTGGTTTGTAGCGCAAATAGTTGCTGTTAATCGTTATTTTCTTCTAGTTATTTATAGCGGTTAATTAATCGGAAGTCTTGCACTTTCTGCGTTTCAAAATAAGGTGCATATATTCGATGTTGTAAATAGACTTTTGAATGAGAAACAGTGTTCGGTCGGGTGTAAATGTGACCCTGGAGCACAAAAGCAGTCTTAAGTCGCTGGGGTATATTTGTAGCAATAGCCAACAATACATTGTATGAGTCAAAATTATAGATTTTTCTTTTATGCCAAAAAATCATTAGGATATTAAGTAAAGATCATGTTCCATGAAGATATTTCCTACCATAAACATATCAAAACTTAATTTTTGATTAGTAATATGCATTGCTAAGAACGTCATTTGGACAACTTTAAAGATGATTTTCTCAATATTTTGATTTTTTTGCACC